TCATGACTGGGCTGCATTTCTGTCAGCGGAGTCATTTTTTTCCGAACAGCTGATTGGCCAGTGGGTGGTGCTTTTTATAGGATCAGATTCAACCCTGAACTTACCCTGCTCCAGAGCAGGATAGCCGTTCAGAGTAAGTTACCATGGTGATCTACCCCGATAAGAACTGAACCGGCTTCGTGAGACCGAAAACCCAGGGTTAACCCTGAAGTTACCTCGCTAAGACATTAATCCTGCTTCGTGATACAGGCCCCTGGTCACTGGAAGTACCAAAATAAAAGCTTGAGATGGTCAGACTGTGTTTATAGAATCAAATAATGAATTAAAACCAACTTATCGGGGGAAGTGAACACTTGAACATACATTAGCGTGATAATAACTACCTAAAATAACAAAAAACATGTTTGGAGAAATTTTATTTGACGTGTACTTTGAGTTGTTAGTGTCCCTTTGGAGGGAATCACCTTGTTGTTTACAAATACTTCCGGGTAGAAAACCAACAGAGTTTAGCTACGTATATATCTCACATTTTTCACGTCACTATATCACCATTTAGACCAATCTAGTGTTTGTAAAGTCTATAAACACAATGATTGAACAAACATTACTATTTCTGTGTGCACGTTTTGTTATTAATAACATGGTTATCGTAGATTAGCGGGGCTAACTGTTAGCTTTTAGCCCCGTTAGCAGTGTCTGTAATGACTCATTAACTCTAAACGGTCCATGAAAAAAAATATTTTTTTCCAGCGGATGTCTTAGTTACAACATGATTTGTTGTATGAATGAATTTGCACATTAGCTAAATATTTAGTTTCACCCAGAACATTTAGATTTAACATTTAACATTTAGATTTAGCATTTAGATTTAGATTTAATATTTAGATTTAACATTTAGATTTAGATTTAGATTTAGCATTTAGATTTAACATTTAGATTTAGATTTAATATTTAGATTTAACATTTAGATTTAGATTTAGATTTAGATTTAACATTTAGATTTAGATTTAGCATTTAGATTTAGATTTAATATTTAGATTTAGATTTAGCATTTAGATTTAATATTTAACATTTAGGTGCCACATTTAATATTTAGATTTAACTATTTAATATATTTCTAAGTTAACAAATATTGCTGTAAATGTGGTAAAAGGTGACGTTAAAAAATTCACAACACTTTTTTAAACATTGTTTGAAGCTAAATGTGGGAAAATGTTGATGTTATTTTCAGCGTGAGCCACTTTACAAACGGCACCCCATATTAAAGACACTCCATGCACATGATTTGTAAACAGAACTTTGTTTTTCTCGCTTCCTCCACAGTGGATGGAGAATCCAAAAATGGTGAACACTGTTGATAACTGAAGTCCTTGGGGACCACATTTAACAACAGCAAAACTATATCAACCTGTTTACAAACTCTTACACACAACACGTGTCGTATGTTCAGTACTACCCAAACACATCCATTTCTGCTAAATAATCTCATCTCATGCAAGTAGCATACCTGGGCGCCTGCTCAGGCATGCTACTCAAAGGCAGAAGCTTTATGTTGTAACATTTTAACCAGGGCTGTCAAAATAATGTGTTCATTTCACAGAAAAAATAACGCATTAAAAAAATTGAACGCTGATTAGTCACGTTCCATGGTGCTCTTTGACCTGGTGAATCATTAAAGGCTAGCGCTAGCAGCCAGTCTTGTCAAGCCACACTTGACCAGGCATTCAGATGTAAACTGAGTTAGTCTACCTGTGACCTAACTAACTCCCTTGCAATGGACTGCAGACCAGTTTCAGTGGTAGAGGACAGGGGGACAATTGTGTCCAAAATCCAGCAGCTTTACTATGACACATCTGCCAGAATTCATTTGAATCAAAATATTTAAATACTTGCAAAACAAAAATTGATGTATGCAATTAATTTAGATTAACTGACCAAAGAGCATGTAATTAATTCCATTTTTTTTTTTAAATTGCTTGACAGCCTGAGTTTCAACTAAAATGCAGGTGTTTGGAAAGTACTGAGCATACAACTGGATAAATGACACTTGGATTATACTTCATGAGTTGTGTCAGAGTTTGTTAAGGGATGTTTTGATATAGTTTTGCTGTTGTTAAGCAACCACCGACCTTCACCCAGGAGGCCGGAGTTCATCTGTTATATTGTAAAGCCAAACCCTGTTCTTTTTATCTTAAACCCAACCACATGTGAGTGTTTTAGCAAAACGTAACCATGTACATATGTTGTAGCAGGAAAAAAACATAAATTTGCAGTGTTGTACCAATGTGGTGCATTTATTTTGAAAGAGACTGTATGCAAAGTGTACATCTCCTGAAAACCGAAGTGTATTTTGAAAACAGCATATAATAGGCTGAAGTTGACACAGTGTCCCAGAATTTCAACGACCAACGTACCCAGGGTACCTTGCACGTCATATCTCAACGTGAAAAGTCCATGTCCAAACGTCGATATGCGACGAGGTCAGAATGAGAATATGTTGCCCTGTTCACCACTTGGTGGTGCTGGCACAGTTATTCACCAGTTTGTTTGTTTTTATTTAGCACTGGTTCCTGCAGTAACACTAATGTTGGCCAATGAGTCAGCCTAAACATTAATAGTATTGACTATTAATAGTATTACAAAACCACTGGCATCAACAACAGCTTCAACTCTCTTGTTTTAGGTTCACAAGGATTTGAAGCCTTGTGACTTAAAAGAGCATTCGTGATGCTGGGTTACAAAAACGATAAGTTGGACCTTGTGTAGAGAATTTTAATTATGATTAATGTTAAATTTTGAAATATATTCCTTTTTTTTATTCCAGATGTAGTGAGGATCATAAATCATCGCAGTCAGGTGAGGAAGAAGACTGTCTGGTTCTCCAGTACCTGGAATTAGAAAAGACAAGCTGTTGAGTCCTTACAGCAGCATGTAGAATGCCAAGTATAGTGTTGACATTAAAATACTAATGCTACCCAGTTACAGTTCTCTTTTCACATAAATGGGTCTTCAATAAGCAAACCTCAAAGTTGAACTTCCTATAAGTCAGATTGCTCAGCCAGCAAGTCTTGAATGTGGTTGTTGGCCCTGTCCAAATTCTTCAATAAACACATATTACTGAAAATGTAGTATGGGGCATTGGTGGCTTAGTGGATGGAGCAGGTGCCCCATGTACAAGGCTGTTGCCGCAGTGGCCCGGGCTCGACTCAAACCTGTGGCCCTTTGCTGCATGTCATTACCCCTCTCTCTCCCCCCTTCACACTCAACTGTCCTATCTATAAAGGCAAAAATGCCCAAAAAATATCTTTAAAAGAAGAAGAAAATTAAGTATATATAATATTAGCAAATTTTGAAAAGTGGCAAAAAGTAGGAGCGTGCTTGTATACTGTGGCTCAGAGGTAGAGCAGGTTGTCCACCAATTGGAAGATTGGCAGTTCGATTCACAGCTTCTCCACTCTGCATGTTTAAGTATCCTTGAGCAAGATACTGAACCCCAAATTGCTTCCACTGGTGTGTGACTGTGTTAAAAACTTAGTAGTAGGTGGCACCTTGTATGGTAGCCTCGGCCATCAGTGTATGAATGTGTGTGTGAATGGGTGAATGTGACTTGAGTGGTCGGATGAATAGAAAGGTGCTATACAAGTGCAGGTCCATTTACCATTTAAAATGGATTGGAGCTGATGATCGCTAAAGATCCTAAATGTTTGTGCCATGTTGTCCCCATTAGAATAACCATGTAAGAGGACATTTTATATACAACATGATGGACAACAGGTCGAGTGTATATAGGCAAATTTACATTCAAATGTGTGTGTTAATTTTTGGGGGGAAAATATATATTTTAGCAGGGCAAAATTGTTCTTAGAATGGACCACTGACCACCGCTGGGATGTGAGTGTGTGTATATACACAGTGCATACTTACTTAAATTTATAATGATATGTAGTATTAAAGTTAAATAACAAAGTGAAATGTGAAACCTGCTGCAGAACTATCTTCACCCAGGCTTGTCCCTCTGTAGATACACATCAAAGTAGCATTTGAGGAACACATTTGAGTATTATTTTAAATTCTATGAATCCTCTGTCCAGTGACGTGTTTCTCACCAGTTGGATATCTGAAAAATTAAATGCCCTTAAATTGTCGATAAATGAAAACAACTCACAAGTGATGTGCTACGCAACTGCAGCATAAGCTGAGAACTACAGCAACAGTCACTATCAGAGCTGTGGCCCAGTCAGGGAGGTTCTTCTTTGCTTCACCTGTAGGCAGATAGACATGCTGCTTTAGCTTTTAGACAAAAAGTTAAACTTTTTAGTTCTCTGCTTGTTTTGTGACTCAGGGTGCTTTCACACCTGTACTAACCACGCAAACAGAGTTTATTTTCACTGAACCAAACAGGTTAGGTGTGAAAGCACCCTCAGTATGAATCCTTTCATTATTCATTCATTATCTGTAACTGCTTATCCTGTTAGGGGTTGTGGGGGTCTGAAGCCTCTATATTATTAATAATAGTATATTATTATTATTCTGCCAGGCAGGAGGGTCAAAAAAAGAAAAGAAGAGAGCATTATTGCCCCGTTTCCACCAAACACTTTCAGTATGGTACCTTTGGAACCAAAAGTACCCTTCAGACTTGGGACCAAGACCCTATTGTTTCCACTGCAAACCGTACCCTTAAATGTGTGCAGGGTTGTTGTTGTCAGTCACTGACTCCGTCCAGCACTCACTGTATTTCCTCATTACCAGTGACACAGAAGGAAGTCTGCACCTCGTTTATCATCCAAAGAATGAGGTTGCATACAAACATTTTCTGAACAAAATTAAACAGGCTGCAGTGGGAGTCTCTCTCCATGGGATATTTAAAAATAGTGGGTTTGTGCATTTAGTCCTTCTCAGGCAAGCTCAGGGGTTTAATGTTGCTGTAGCCTGACACTTTTTTTTCTCCAGGTGAGGATCAGAATATAAGCAGTTAACATAACCCGTCAGAAATTAATACATATATATATATGTATAAAGGGGCTACATACGATATGTTACCAACCCCCCAGAACCTAAAACTGTGGGTAAATGAGGACCCATCATGCCCATTGTGTTCACGTACCGCAACCTTAAAGCATATTTTGTCAGGCTGTAAAGTTAGCTTGTCACAAGGCCGATATACATGGCGACATAACCAGGTGTTGAAATGTTTAGCTGCAAGCATCGAAGGAGAAACGAAGACAGGTGAATTCAGAAGGTGTTAAGGATAGGAGTTTAGTAATTCAGTTTGTCCGTGAGGGAGAGAAACACAGACAAGATAAGTTAGTGAAGAGGCAAGGGTGTGGCCGCCTAGAAGGTGCTTGTGATAGGGAAATGCAAGTAGATTTAGGGGGAAAGCTTGTTGTTCCCCAGGAAATAGTTTGTACCAGGCAGAGGCCTGACTTAGTGTTGTGGTCAGTGAGTCAACGGATAGTTTATTTCATTGAGCTGACAGTTCCTTGGGAAGACTCAGTGGAAGAAGCCTATGAAAGAAAAAAGCTTACATATGCAGACTTAGGAGCAGAAGCTGAGCAGCGAGGATGGAAGACTAGGATTTGTCCAGTGGAAGTGGGGTGTAGGGGATTCATAGCAAGATCAGCTGTCTCGCTCCTGGGGGAACTCAGAGTGCGGGGACAGAGTTTGAGGAAGACAGTGAGGGAAATGTCAGATGAAGCAATTAAATGTAGCCAGTTTATCTATAAGAGAAGAAGTAATGTCAGTTGGGGGCCAGCAGGGGGAACTACTAAACAGGGCACATAACTCCTTGAGATGAGGTGGAGATATCCACTACCTCTCAGGAGGAAATCCAGGAAGAGGAAGTATTTAAGTGTGGGAGTGGCCTATTTGAATCCATTTTGTTTGAGGCCATGCGGCAAGGTGAGTGTGCTTGCTGATCCTGTAAGTTCATTTAGCTCCTTTAACTTTAGCTTATATTGTAGATATGCTATGTAGTGTATGAAATAGAGTATGGTGAAAGTGCTAGGAAAGGTAGTATCAGCCCTGTTTCTACCTGGAGCTCGCATGTACGGAGCCTGGGTTTGGTTGAAGATGGCAGCGCTGTTTGGGCTGAGAAAGCCATGTGTAAGTAAGGAGGAAGTCCAGGAAGAGGAAGGTTATTTAAGTGTGGGAGTGGCCTATTTGAATCCATTTTGTTTGAGGCCATGCGCAAGGTGAGTGTGTTTGTTGATCCTGTAAGTTTATTTAGCTCCTTTAACTTTAGCTTATATTGTAGTTATGCTATGTAGCGTGTGAAATAGAGTGTGGTGAATGTGCTAGGAAAGGTAGTATCAGCCCTGCTTCTACCTAGAGCTTGCATGTACGGAGCCTGGGTTTGGTTGAAGGTGGCAGTGCTGTTTGGGCTGAGAAAGCCATGCGTAAGTAAGGTAAAGGAGGTTATTGGGTTGGTGCAGGGAGGGGAGCAGTGAGACCTGGCATTAGGGGAGTGTCTCTGGGACGCTGGAGATCACTGTCTAGCCTCCTGGAGGTGTCGTGGGACCAACTAAACGAAACACTGGTGAAAGGAGGTTCCCACCCGATGACCCCACAGACATGCTAGTTATCACTGCTCATTGGTTTGTATAGTTAAGCCTTGCCATATTAGCTTATCATAGGGCTTAGGTTTTTCACTGAGTGTTGATCCTTTCTCTAGAGCACAAACTTCTTGTGTTTATTTGAACTAAACGCTTGAAGATCCACTCATTACTAAGGTTTAGGTTTTACAAATTAAAACTCCTGATTCTGCTGCTGAAGACACAGACTTTTTCACTCAGAGAGAAACAAATACAATTTCCGAAAAAGTTTATTTTGAAATTAAATCACAAATGTGAGAGTTTTGAAAGTCTGCAGGTCTGATTGTTGTCATTTTGCTCTTTGGGGCAATAAAATTATTTTCACGCACTCACAATGTAAACTACCTGCTCCTTCAGTTACCTGCCAAAGAACAGTACTGTATGGAATACATACACATAGATTCTGAAGTAGTAAGCAGTAAGTAGATCAGAGAGCAACTGTGTGCTTGTGCTGAAAGGACTTTGTAGACATTACTACTTTTTTGCATCAGTCTGAAAATTGTTATTTTGCTCACAATCCAAATATCACATGACTTGTTGCCTTGCTGATCTCTGCTCCCTGGTTCATTGCCTATTTTCTACTTTTTCAACACCAGATAAAGTAAAATTGTGTTTAGTTCCTCAATTTCAGCCAGCTTTTGTTACTTTTATGTATTACCCAGTGACATTGATTAAACAAAAGTGATGGTGCACAGCTGCATAAATGGTACCTATATATGCCAAAGTTTTAACACAGGAAATGATTAAGTCAATTATTCACTTAACATAAAGTTACAGAGGTTAAGTTTAGGCAAGTAAAGTTCCATTGGTTAAGTTAAGGAGAGGAAACATGGTCACATCATGGCTTAAAATGACTCGCATGGTTTCACACGTTCTCCTGGAGGACATCCCCTTGTTTGTTTGACACATCCACCACCCCAACCTATGTTCTTAGAAGGACTACTTCCTTCTTTATTCCCTTCAGAACAATGGTCATGTCATTGCAACCTTTACAAATAGGCGTGTTATACGCAAATTACTGGCTCATGATTATGTGTGATATATGCAAATTGCTTAAGTGGCGTCATAGGCCATTCACAACAATCATTGATACTTCCTTTGAGAATCCTCCGATTTATGACAGACATCCCATGAGCCCCTATGAATACTTCAAACAGTATATACCAGATGAGGTCTTTGATCTAATGACCAACAACACCAACATTTATGCCATGCAAAGTGGCACACTAGGTTTCAAAATGACTAGTTCAGGAGAAATCAGAACCCTAGCTGGTCTCCACCTTGCTATGGGAGTGATGCAAATGCCAAGAGTCTCCATGTACTGGGAAGCTGGGATGGACATTGGTATTTTTCGAAACACAGATTCTTCCAGCTCCGGTCACATTTGCATTTGGTCAACAATTTGGAGAAGCCAGCAGTGAACAATGATGTGTTTTTCAAGGTACATCCTCTCTACAATGCCATACACAGAAGATGCTTGGAGCTTCCCCTGGAAGAAAACTTTTGTGTTGACGAACAAATGGTGCCATTTCGTGGATCTCTGTCTGTCAAGCAATACATCAAAGGCAGGCCGCACCCTTGGGGGTCGAAAATATACTTCCTGTGTGGGAAAAGTGGCATGGCCTATGATTTCCTGCTGCACCAAGGAATCACAGAGGCCAACCACAAGTTGTTTTCTGACAATTATTTCACAATTTACAATCTTCTGGAGCTGCTGGCTGAGAGGAAAATTCATGCTGCTGGGACAACAAGGGTCTGTCGCTTTGCCAGGCCTCCTCTACAGTCCGACAAAGAGATGGCATAGTAACTGACTGGCATGCCATTCTGTTTGTTGTGCTAAACCCAAGATTTGTTTATTATGTTTCATAGGCCCACATATATTTATCCATATCACATAATTACTACTCTTTGATCCACTGCCTGACCCTCTGTGTGTCCAAAGCTATTTGTTTATTTTAAACAGTATAGGCCATTAAATTGCTCTATATCATCACACCATTATCAATAAAAACAGTGGGATTTTGTGGTACACTGTATGTGAATGCATGAATGGGTCAGACCTGTGCAGCACTGGATTTGAAATGAACTGTAATAAATTGGAGCTTCTGTACTTTGATTCCTTGCTGTGAAACAACATGACCCTCATCCATTTAAAATGACCATTTGTTCTTTTGAGTTCATTTTGGTCAAAGTAACGCATGACCCCAAAGACGTGTTAGTTATCACTGCTCACTGATCTGTATAGTTAAAGGGGAAGTTCCGTTTTTTACAACCTGGACCTTATTTCTGGCATTAAATACGGTTGTTTACTCACCCAGATAAGTTTGGTGTCAATTGGAGTCCTTCGGAAGATATTTAGATCCGCAAGAGCCGCGTACATCCATATAGTGGGAATGATCGGGGCACTGACAATGAGGCTCTAAATAACACATTATTTGCCGCGAAACTCGTTCATTTCACCAATATGTTTTTATGAATTGCTAGAGTTGGTTGTCATCATCATCCGGGTCATTTATACTGACCTACTAACCTCTGCAAAAAAAAAAATCAGAGGCAATTCGTAAAGACAATCCTCTTTACCACCAAAACGTTCACCTTTCTGTTTCTCACTTTTTGTCACTGAGCACTATGTAATAATAAATTCATGTTTTGTATAAGAAGTGCCTCTGCTTTTTGTGCAGTGTGCGGGCTGTTCTACACAAGCGATGAGAAGAAACTAAAGAAATGTAAATTCTCATAGTTATTTACTTATCAAGCAAACAAATTCAAGGAAAATAAACAATTTATGCATGTGTGTAGGCTACTTACTCAATCGGTCCTGCAGGCTTTGGCTGGGTCTTCCAGTTTATTTTCGGGACACGAAAAAAACAGCCCGGTTGATCATAGAAGTGAAATCCTCTGTAGTTGTGAGACAGTAATTTCTGGAGACATCCAGACGTGTATCTCCTGGCCTCAAATCCCACTCGGAGCAACAAAGGCATTCCTCCTCTGTTGGCATAGTCGAATATTGTCCACAAGAACACCACCAGTTAGCATCTATTCTCAGATGTGCAGCAGTTTGTTGTTCTCTGGCCAGCTGTTCCTCTCTCTGCCTCCGCATCCTCCTTTCAAAGAGCTCCTCATCCGTATACTCTGGCTCAAAACGGTAAGGATGTCCATCATATTCAAAGTCGTCATCCACAACCTCAAAATCTGACAAATATTCAGCCATTTTTTAAAAAACTAACAGTAGCAAATTCCAGTTGTAAAGTGCTGCGGGTGTGCGGTGGCGCGCGCACCTGGATGACATCATCCATGTCAGAGGTTAGTAGGTCAGTATAAATGACCCGGATGATGATGACAAGCAACTCTAGCGATTCATAAAAACATATTGGTGAAATGAACGAGTTTCGCGGCAGATAATGTGTTATTTAGAGCCTGATTGTCGGTGCCCCGATCATTCCCACTATATGGATGCAGATCTAAATACCTTCCGAAGGACTCCAAATGACACCAAACTTATCTGGGTGAGTAAACAACCGTATTTAATGCCAGAAATAAGGTCCAGGTTGTAAAAAAATGGAACTTTCCCTTTAAGCCTTGCCATAATAGCTTATCATAGGGCTTAGGAGGTTATTCATTGAGTGCTGATCCTTTATTTAGAGCACAAATTTCTTGTGTTTATTTGAAATAAGTAACTTATCACTCTGCACAGAGATATTTGATCACTGCTGCCTAGTTTGTCAGTTTGACTGCAGTTCACAGAGTGATTGAAACGACTGAACTGTGTTAGAGACTTATCAGCTCTGATTGCTTCTTGCTGACTGCGTCCTGATAGGAGGGGAGGAGGAGCATGATTTGTTTTCACAGACTATCTGTCTCATGTAGTTCTTTCACAATATAGCACCAGTTTTAGCAAATATGACACAAAGTTATTTTCCTAAAAATTACCAATGGCATCTTTAAGGGATACTGCACAACAATCTATTCTTCCATTAACTTACCTTTGTTTAAATCGTGGGTGGTGATCAAAGTCTCATTTTGGGTAGGGTTGTAGATGAGGCAAGTCATAGATTGATATTGATCCCCAGGGATATGTATAGTGCTTCTGAGACTGTAGAGATGATCCCGAGGGTCCTGCACCGCTGTAGTGTTTACATCCCTCTGGTCAACTAAGTGTTGGCTTTTGTCAGATAGGTAATGAAGTCTCCACTCTACCCAAGGCTTAGGGAATCCTTTTTGTGTAGTGCAGACTGCAGTCATTTTTTCTTCATTTACAGTCAGCCTGGCACTCTTGTAAGGAACTATGAGTAAGAGAACAACATTATTTCAGTCAGTACTTTTTTAACACCAGACATTTTGGAGGATAAGCTCATTCACTTTCTTGCTTACAGTTAAATGTGAAGATTAATACCACTCTCATATAACAGTATATATATATATACTATTCCTGTAAAGGAAAGTGAAATCTCCATCCTTACCTGCAACATGTAAAGTTATTTGGCAGATGGGTGTAACAATGGGTTTCCTTCTGCTATCAGAAACTGGTGCAAAAGCCTGGAAAACCTTTTGGTTATCTTCAAGTGTTATGTTTCTAAGTTTAACTGAAATATTTCCTGTTATCATGTCCTGTGGGAAGGCTGTGACCCTGGCTTGATAAAGTTCCTTTACATGTGCAGGCTTCTCCACTCCCTTATTAAAAGAGTACAGTACGTATTTTCCTTCATCTTGCCAGTAAAAACGTAAATTGTTTAAGCCAATGGGAGTGGGGGTGATCAGTATACATGGAAGTACCACTGATTTGCTGACAGTAGTGTTGACATTAAGAACCACTGTTGCATCAGACCCTGAAAATCAAAGAAAATAGAACAGTTCTCATACATTTATGTATGTACATTTATGCTCATTTAAGATTAAAAAGTTTTACCTCCCAAATTAAACACATCACAAATGCTGTAGATAATAATATTCCACTGTATTCTTGCCATGTACACACACACACACACACACACACACACACACACACACACACACACTCTCCAAATGAAAGTGAAAACAGTTGCACTAAAATGTCACAGTAAAATGCAATCAACTTACCTAACAGGAGAAAGTATGCCATTGATACAATAAGCATTCTTGAGATGACAAGCTTGCTTGCTACACACCAGAGAGGAACACAATTTGACTGGGCTTGAAGCACATGTGCCAGCAAACACCCACCAATATTTTTAAAGCTGGCTAATCACTATCAGACCTCTACTTCCTCTTCTGACCGACAGCTTAGCATCTCTGTGCTTTCCAATGTTGCATGCATGCTGACTCATCATTCATAAGAACTCCAGCAATGAAGCATAGCTATAAAGATATTTCACAACTGACGCAGTAACACTACAAATGTTTAGATTTCAAGGTCACAATGACGATAATGATGATGATGATGATGATGATAAAGTGATGTATATCCGTTTGAGAAGGATATGGCGCGTGGAAATTAACAGCAAGGCACAAGTATTCACAATACTGTGTGACTTCAAGTGGCCATTTCATGTTTAAGTAGCTTCACTGACCATGTATGCTTATAGGGGAAGGGACATATCCAACCACGACATCTGGAAGTCATCTGAGGATACACTTCACTACAATGCAGTTTCCCTATAATGCACATGTCACAGCTGTACAAAATTGTATTTTTATTTACTTTCTATTTACATGTGGCCTATAAGTGGTGAATAGGCACAAAGTACAGATAAAACTCATCACAACATTTCTGACCTCCTATAAAGACAGCATCTTATTAACAGGATCGATTCACAGAAGAGTTAACAGTGTGAGCTGAATTCACCATCAGTCCTGCCATGTTTTAGTGTGTTAGCATTAGTTTTAACCCCCATCTAGTGGTGATGTATCATATTTTCTTTGTTTAAAACTGTTCTCATGACCTTGTGGATACTGGATCATGAATAACTTCCAAGCAAGTTGAAATGTCATAAAATCATGCCTCAACTTAAGAGCGCTGAGAAACTTCCTGGAGAACATAGGCGGAGTCTTTAATAATTATAGTTAGGGCTGCCTCAGGCTTGTTTTGGACCAGCTCCTAGTTAGGCTGACATAGGCTTAGTCTGCCGGGGGACCTCCTATAATACACCGAGCACCTTCTCTTCTTTGCTAACACTCATGTCCTGTTACTGCATCTTGCTAACTTGGCTTCTTCTCCGGAGCCTTTGTGCTCCTCTGTCTGGCCGGTTACCTCATATCGCAGCTGTGCCTGGATCATGTGACGTGGTTGTGCTGCTGCCGTGGTCCTGCCTGATGCCTCCTACTGCTGCTGTTATTATTAGTCATACTTTTACTGTTAATATACACATATGATTATCATTGTCACATATATATACTATCATATATTACCATATACTTACAACATATTATACCACAATAGCCGTAATTATTATTATTATGATATTACTACTTAAATTAATGTTGTTGTAAGCTACTGTCATTACTGTCTGCCCTGTCTCTCTTTATGTATCATTTTGTCATATGGATTACTGTAAATTTATTATGTTGATCTGTTCTGTATAACATCTATTGCACATCTGTCCGTCCTGGAAGAGGGATCCCTCCTCAGTTGCTCTTCCTGAGGTTTCTACTTTTTATTTTCCCGTTAAAGGTTTTTTTGGGGGGGAGTTTTCCCAAATCCGCTGTGAGGGTCCTAAGGACAGAGGGATGTCGTATGCTGTAAAGCCCTCTGAGGCAAACTGTGATTTGTGATATTAGGCTTTATAAATAAAATTCATTGATTTAATTAGACCCCACTCTGACATCATTATTTTAAGGCCATAGTGACACTAACATAGCAGAGAAAGAAAGTTGTATAGCAACGAAATGATTGGCTCACAGAGGTCATGCAAAATCTGATTGGTGAACACCCTCAGCTCAAGAAGCGAGACATCCTGTGTTCTTCCTGTGTGAACTTCCACCAGGCTCCATTTAAATCAGGAGAGACTTCAGTGAAAGAGAGGCTTTAAAGTAATTAAATACATTTATTTTATAGTGTACAATAGAACACCAAGAGGAGGGTTTGGACATCAGAACCCATTGTGACATCAGCATTTTTATTGGGTAGTAATGGCATGAACTCTACAGGACTATCCTCTGAAAAAAAAAAACATTGGGCCTCATTCACCAGTATCTTTTTAAGTTTCCGCACCGGCTGGGGAATGTGCAAACATTTTTGCTGAAATCACAGCAGATTGGAATTTGGTTGAAATGATGCTTTTGTCAGCTGCAATGGTCAGTGGCAGGCTGGAGAAGAAGTTTTCCCCACTGTTATCTTTTTGTATCACTTGGGAGATGGTAGGATGAAGCTCACCAGAGTTATGTCTCGACCTTGGCAGATAAATTTGCTGTGTGAGGGATGTCTGTGTACCTAGTGGAGGGGCTTGGACAGCAGAAGCCAGAGAATGTTGAGTAGTTTGAGTTTGAATGGTTGTGAAACGCTGGTTGAACAAGGAGGCCTGAGTCACTGAGGCTCACTGTTGATGAGGCAGATGATGAAGCATTTTTCAGGAGCTGAGAGCACATGTTGATACCTTGGATAAAATTAGCCTGAGACTGCATGGTGTTGATGAGGTCATCTACAGCACAGAGGCCTGGAGAAGCAGATGAGGCTGGGCGAGCAGGAGTGACAAAGGACATGTTTCTCCTCTCAAGCTAAGCAGCCTGAGAAAGACCTGATTGCTTGTCCCTTTTTTGGCCAAAAGCAGGCATGGGGGGAAGGCTGAAGCAGATGTTTCTTAAACAGGAAGTAACAAAAACTCAGTGGGATCACAGTGGGTTGATTGATTTTCCAGCGTCTGGAGCTGGACTGATGCTAATCTTTGAAGGAAATCTGGCTTGTCTTAAGGGGAGCCACCATGCAGAGTTAAGTGAGCACCCCTGTGCTAACTGGAACAAGGAGGTGGATGTGGTCTTCAGCAAAATTATGATGTTTAGATCCTCCTGGAGAGGATCATACTTGGAGTCTGACACCAGCTTTGCTGTCCACGACAAGGTACAGAAAAAAAGGTGAATTGTTGCCTTATGAATCAATTTGACACTGAAATGATGGCTGAGAGCAGCAGAGAAAGGAGCAATTTTTAAAGTTTGACAGCAACAAGATGATTGGCTTACAGAGGTTAGACTTTTGTACATTCTCACTTTGCACATTTTCTTCTGGCTGGCTAATTCTTTACTTGGAATTGAAGGCAACTATTTCAGCCATGACAACCTATGATGTTATGTCTTCAGCATACAATTGCATAATTAACGTAAAGTCACTGTGGTTAGAATGAGGAAAAGAAACAAGGTGAGGACGAATGACTCAAAGTTCACACAGTTCTGAACACGTTTCTCCTGGGGAAGCCCCATGTTTTGTGACCCATCCACTACCCCAACCTGCCTCTTCACAAGAATGATTGGGACTGTTTCCTTGTTTACTGCCGTCAATGCATTGGTCACATGATTGCAGCCTTTCAAAGTATGTGGGATATGTATGAATTTGGGTGCATTACTTTTTGTAAGAAAACGTATGAAAAGTTTATGAGAACAGCCTGAAATGTGGTAACTAAATAATGGTGCTCCTGCTGGTCCTCGCCTGTAAATTAGAGGAAATAATTAAGAGCAACAAAGTATCTGACATGTTGCTTTATCAACATTCCAAACACACTGCAAAATGTCATCAGACTGGTCCTCCTGCTAGTGAAGTCATCTGAGTCTCAAAAGATAAGCTGATAGGAAAAGTGAGTAAGGCCAAGCCTCCAACAGGACTCACGAGGAGGTATCTGACCCATTATGGGAGCTAGAAGAAGAAAACTTTGAGCCATATGTCAGCAAGAGAAAAGGTGTTACCTCAAATGGGCAAGGCAGTGAATAAAACTTCAACGTGGCTGTGACCACAATGTGTAAACACCTGGAAAAATGGTTCACCAGTGTTACAAGTCACACCAACACTGTTCCACGCCTGTGGTCAGACGCTACATTTGATCAGAAACAAAACACCCTGTTTCTCTTCCAAGATGTTGCACAGCAATTACTGTTAATTGTTATCAAAGCAAAGCTCTTTGCAAATCTTTTTCCATCTTCAGAGGAAGTTGGGAACCTCAATTCTGAGAGAAAGCACTGAACAATAAACTGACATGAGGCAAGAGAATGTAATAATTCTTTTTATATTTGGCAATACCCTGTTAGGCCAGTACAGAACAATACAATGTCACGACCTCGAGTGTCTCAGCTTAAAAAGCAATGCTGAGTAAGAAATGTTAACAAAAGGTGATGAAATAAATTATTTAAGTATGTTATGTAGCTCCACGAAAAAAAAAAAAAAGTTCCTCCAGTCTGTTGCCAGGAAACGCAGCACACACGCCAGGAACTCACAAGCTACTTTGCATTTACATTGATCTGCAACTGTGTAACTTCGTCCAGTTCGGCTGATGAAACGTTGGCAAACCTGGATGTTGGCAAGGCCGGATTCAGCTTCCACTGTCCCTCATCCTCATTAGGGGTGAGTCCGTGTACACGTTTACACGTGTTTGAGATCATAAACGGTTATGAAAAATTAGTACACGAAAAACGGGGGATTTTTTTAGGGGGGAGGGGGGCGATACTAATTGTTGACCAACTGTGATAGACTGTGAATATGACAAGAAATGGTGTGAGGCCGGGTTTAGCAACAGGTCAGTAGCCTACGTGCTCCGTTCTATTAAAACGGCACGGTCGTTAAGGGGGTCGTTCGCCAGTGGACTACAATGAGTAGCCTACCGGTGTTCTGACATATAGAGCTACCACTCAGAATGACCTACTAACACAAACTGCTCATTCATAGTGCGTTTAAGTGACGAAAAAACCCACCAAAACCATACCAGGCGACATACTTTTAACCACATTTATAGAGGTAGTAGCATATTCTGATGGATATTTCCTACCCTATATAATGGCCTACTCTACTTTTAACCACATTGTGATTGATATTTCTACCTGACAGAATGAGCTGCTCTACTTTTACCTATATTTACAGAGAATGTGAAGGTACGTCTGCCGCTTTGCACTGTGGGGCATCAGCGCCATCTTTGGAGGAACGCGGGTGTAAACAAAAGCGGGAAGCCAGCTATTCAAGGCAGCTCAACATTTTAAGTAGGCTAATCATGTTTTTTTTCTATTTTTATATTATTTTGTTATATTTCTCCCTCTCCCCTCGCTGGAAGCGCCGGACCTCCCGCTGCTCGCTCCCGCTGCTCGCTCCCGCCGCGATTAAACACTAAAAATAAAATAAAAGAGGGAGACAGTTCTTCCTATTTTATCTTATTTTGATATATTTCTCCCTCTCCCCTCTCTGGAAGCGTCCGCCCTCCCGCCGCCCTCCGCCTCTCCCACCTTAATTAAACACTGACAACTAATATAAAAGACAGAGACATTTTTCTATTTTCATCTTATTTAGCTATACTTCTCACTCTCCCCTCTCTGGGAGCGTCCGACCTCCCGCCGCCCGCTCCCATCTCAAACACGGAGGCCCCGCTCATACTCCCACTGGGTAGCCCCTGCTCGGGTCTCCCTCTCAACGGAGCCCGCCCTCCCAGCCCTGCACATACTCTCGCTCGGGTCTCCCTTTCCGCGGAGCCCACCCTCCCGGCCCCGCACACAGGCTACTCCCGGCCCCGCACACAGGCTACTCCCACCGGCACCCCCAGGCAGCCCCCACTCGGGTCTCCCTCTTTTTTACATTTCATGTCATTTCATTACATGTCTGTCTTTTTTGTTTGTATATAATGGTTGTATATATTGTATATTGTACTCTTGCTTATCGAAATAAATTCATTCATTCAGTCATTCATTCATCCCCGACAAAAACAGTGCAACCTTACCTTTGCCAGTTCGACTGTGTTTGCTGAGTTTTCTGGCTTGTGAATAAGTAAATCTTGCACCCATCCACTGCAGAACTGCTCACGGGCTTCTAAAGATTTATAACTTTTAAATTCTTGTAACGTATATGCACTCAGTCCAAAAACCAGATAGTTTACAATGTCGGGATATGTCAGTGGCGGGAGTACAGCGGGGTCTTGACTCCAGTCCGTGGCTGTTAAATCGTAGGGATCAACATTGTTAAGCATTTGCAGCTTCTCTATGTGCCTTAGCCTCGCGTTTAATTTGAGTTTGTCGTGGTAGGGTCCTCTGTCATTTTCTTTGTCCTTCTCCATCTCTTTTTCTTCATGTTCGTATTCCCCTTCACTGCTTTGTTTACATCGCGTTCCTCCAAACATGGCGCTGACGCCCCACAAAGCAACGCAAGTGACGTCACCTTCACATTCTCTATAGAACTTGTAGTCCATTCTGATAGATTTTTTCCCCTACTGGTAGGTCATTCTGAGCGGGTAGCTCCATTTGTCAGAACACCGGGCCATCAAATCACAGCATCCGCGGTGAGAGGACACAGAATTGTTTGTGCTTTTATGCACGGGTTGGTGGTCAAGTGGCACACATGACTCGTGCTATGGACAGATAGACGGATGGACAAACGAGCCACGTATCTAAAACAAGTAATACATCTGGCTATATCTTTCACACATGCGTAAAAGCGCACACAATTCCGCGTCCTCTCACCGCGGATGCTGTGATTTGATGGCCCAGTACTCATTGCAGCCTACTCTTAAAAGACCCAATAATAATAATAATAATAATAAGTTACTGTGGACCTATACATGCCATGCCTTTTAATAAAATTACCAGAGGAGTTCGCTGAAAAACAGGAAAGGCAGCCTGAATTACTCGCGTGCGTCCCTGGTGAAAATCGCTGACATGCATGGGAAATACAGCTTCTACAGGCTCGCCATAGCTTACTGTCAGGACTCAGGGACCAGAATTCGAGATGATGGACCGTGGGAATGGCGATATATCGGAGTGGCGGCCTGTAACCGTTGGTTAAATGGCCTGTTCAGTTGGTATTCAGATAACTGGGGCTTTACTGGTATAATGCAATAGCACCACCCAGTGGTGAAACCCGTGTACACGTTTACACGAAAAAAATGACCCACTCTAAACGTTTAGAGATTTTTGTACATAAAAGGCCCGTTTCCACTGAAGAAGTTCCTGGTAGTATTTGGGGGGCAGGAACGTCCTCTCGCTCGGCCCTCTCAACCGTCGTGTCTCCACTGTGCGGCGGAGTAGGAGGAAGGTTCCTGTAAAGTTACCGGGCTATGGATGTGACATAATTGTTGCGCGACCATTTTGACCAGGGTGACGCGGCAAAGAAACAAACAAACAAAGAAGAACAACAACAAAGAAGAAGAAGCAGAAGTACGAAGAAGAAAGCAGACATAAGAAAGACGATTATCAACACGGAAGGAGCTGAGGTTGCTGGGTTTCTGGCGTGTCTCTTCGTTTACATGGCGGTGGAAGCTATGAACGAGAGCTGCTGAGTTTTAAAAATGCCGGCTATTTTGTCGCTTTCTGTTGACGTCAGCAAACCAGAATACGCCACCTGAGGCGGAAGTGATTCTGCTCACCCGCAGCAGCCCGCAGCGATTAAACCACAGAGGAAGGAGCCGTGTTTACAGTGTTCTTCGAGTAAGCAGTACGCAACGGACATTGCTGAACACATAACACCTAACAGTTTTACCAGAGATGTATCTATGAGGACTTGGTTGTCATGGCGGATAACGAAGGAGCATCTAAAATTATCTGTGACTGTGACCATGAACATGAATATACAGCAGGCAGCTGTCCTCAGTTTATAAGAAATTCAGAGCTACACCAGAACATTTATGAACAGGTCTTACTAATTTGTGTGTAACGTTAGCATGTTAGCATGTTTCCAATAATTACTTGGACTGACCTAATGTTAGTAGCGTTAGCTTTGCAAGCGAAGGCTGCAGGTAACAGCTTTGCTGTGTTAGGATTATGTAATGTCTTCACTGTGTATCTTCATCTGAGCTTTGCCTCTTGTCCAATCAAATTACTCGGTCGGAACTAACTGTTGTATAAACTAATATAATCTAAAGAACTTAACAGAATCATTGATGGAGTGGAGTGTGGTGGAAATAGACAAGGTAGAAGATTTTAGTCAGCTTATTGGGTGAACAGGACTGATGAGAAAAATCTGACATACTTGACACTGTAGGAGTTAACTGACTCCAAAAGATGGCAGTAACACTAAACATGCAAGCAGCCATTAACCCTCAAATTAGAATTACCACCTTGCAGTTGTATGCCTCCGCACACCACTTAAGTTTCTCTCACAGTTTACATCCATGTCTATGAAAACTTGGATCCTTCACACACATCTTCCCTGACAGCACAGAGGATCTACACAACCAGCACAGTTTCAAGGTGATTTTATTGTGATGACAGCAGCATTTCAGCAGCATTTCAGCCTGTGGGATTGGAATCTATAAATATACATCAAAATCAACTAATATTTATACATACATGTTGCAAAAGTAAAAACTGAATAGATTCTGTTTATGTTGTTAAAATTATGACATTGCAGTCAACAGCACCATCACCAAACATTCCATAAAGGTTTTACACTTTGAATGGTAACCCAATGTCCCTGAGGCTGTGTTCAGCTGCCCTGCAGTTTCTTCATAACAAGGCTGCTGGGTGGTGCGTTGGTAAATATTGTCCCCACAAAAACATGTGTCCCCCATAGAGAGTGCCGGATCACTCTACAGCAGCCTAGGTCCTCAATCTGAAAGCCCAGGTGACGGTACCTGTCATCAGTCTCAAATAGTGTGTTGTTGGTGTACGAGCCAAAGAACTGGGGAGGAACACAGACATTTATCAATTAGTTATCAGATCACATCCATCTCAAGAAGAACTAAAGTTAAGCACTTATCTTTAACACATTTTCAAGAGTCTGAATCTAACTTATAAGCAGCTTTGAATTTTGTCAGTGTGACACAATTATAAACTAGAATTGCCGTCTCATGGTTGTATGCCTCCGTGCACCAGTCAAGTTTCTCTTACAATTTACATCCATGTCTGTAAAAACATGGATGCTTCACACACATCTTGCTCCAGACAGCACAGAGGATCAATACAATCAGCACAGTTTCTGGGTGGAAACCCAATATGAGAGTCACCCATTTAGTAGCCCCTTTTACACTGCCAGATTTTCCGCGAATGTTTGGCTGTTTGCCGGCAAGCTGCGAGCGTTTAGACACACAAAGCTGATTGGCGAGTTGATCCGAAGTGTCCAATTTTCCACCTCGTAGGGTAGTCATATTGGCAGAACCCTTTTAGTTTAAACAGACCTCTGTGTTGCCTTCCGCAACGGGAGGGGCTGTTGATGACTTGTAGGAGGAGCTGTTGATGACGCTGCACCGGCATGTGCGACCCACTGGCGGTGGATAAACAGGAAACAGCTGATAGCAGGAATTAGCGAGCAGCTAGTAGCAAGAGGGAAACACAAACCTGACAGACACTGTAAAGATGAGCAACTGGGGAGACAAGGAATTGTGTGCCCTCCTTGTCCTCGCAAACGAAGAGGCCATTAACCGTCAGATAACGGGAATCGTGAAGACTGGCCGACTTACGAGAGAGTCGCTGAAGGACTGACAAGCCACGACTTCCCTCCCATGTCATAGTTTACGTCACACGCTAAGCTACACATTTTGTTACTTGCTCACGCCCCCCACTGCCCCAAAAAAGGCGCATTCTGTATAAACAAAAGTAGGTAGGCGGCAATTTGCCAATCTGCCCAACTGTCTCCTCTTCTGTTCCTACGATATGACGTCAAATAATGGCCAGAAAAATCAGAACATCATGATGTCACAGTGAAGCTGACTTTTTGGATGTAAAATGTCATCACTTCATCATTTTATCCTATTAGACAGTTGTGTTACGTTTTGTCATAATTAGCATATGGCCCCCTCCTCCCCCACCACTACTCTCACTATCCAGGAGAGGGATGTCAACAGGCTCCTTAAGAGGACCCCTACAAAGCAGCCAGATCAGACTCTGTCTTTCCCTCCACCTTGAAGCATTGCGCCGACCCGCTGTCTCCGGTGTTCACCCACATCTTCAACACCTCACTGGAGACATGCCATGTGCCAGCCTGCTTCAAGACCTCCACCATCATTCCCGTCCCCAAAAAGCCAAGGACCACAGGACTTATTGACTACAGACCCATCGCCCTGACCTCTGTGGCAATGAAGTCCTTTGAGCATCTTGTGCTGTCACACCTCAAGGCCATCATCGACCCTCTCCTGGACACCCTGCAGTTCGCCTACAGAGCCAACAGGTCTGTAGACGACGCTGTCAACATGGCCCTCCAATTCACCCTCCAGCATCTGGACTCCCCAGGAACCTACGCCAGGATCCTGTTTGTGGACTTCAGCTCTGCCTTCAATACAATTATCCAGGCTCTGCTACAGGACAAGCTCTCCCAGCTGAGTGTGCCTGGCTCCACCTGCAGGTGGATCAATAACTTCCTGTCTGACAGGAGGCAGCACGTGAAGCTGGGGAGACATGTCTCTGACACCCGGACTATCAACACTGGATCCCCCCAAGGCTGTGTTCTTTCTTCTTGTTCTTCTCCCTATACACCAACAGCTGCACCTCCAGTCATCAGTCCGTCAAGCTCCTGAAGTTCAAAGACAACACCACCCTCATAAGACTCATCTCTAAAGGAGATGAGTCAGAATACAGGAGGGAGAATGACCAGCTGGTGACCTGGTGCAGGCTGAACAACCTGGAGCTCAACGCTCTTAAGACAGTGGAGATGGTTGTAGACTTCAGGAAGAACCCAGACCCGCCCACCCCCATCACCCTGTATGACTACCCAGTCGACTAGAGATGCAAATCTTGCAGATTTATCAGTGACATCCGCGGATGTCCGCAATCCGCGAGTGGGTGGGCCAATAAAAATTAACATTGTAATTAATTTCGGGTGGATTGCGGGTGGATTTGTTAGTTATGTTCGTATTTAATAACCTTTATTTATAGTACTTTTCCAAAAAAATAAATAAATAAAATAAAATTTATATTTATTTTCCGTCTGGCGCAAAATGACCAACTACTGTAGATGTCAGACCGTTGGCAATGCCCTGTGTATCCATGGCAACGCCCCACGTGAGGGTTCCTGAATCAAACCAGCGTCAAACCTCCTTGCCATGGATGCCAAAACAGTGAGAGAGAAATTAAAATCAGGAGAACGTAAAACTAAAACAAAGGAAGGGAAAAGTTCCGTTTGGGAGCGCTTCCATGTCATCGTTAGCAACACTGACTAAGAAACTGAGGCCGGGTTTGCCATTTGCAACAGCTGCAGTACCGTGTATGTCTACGAAAGGCACAAAACTGGCACCTCAAACTTGATGCACCACAACTGCGAGAAAGCGCAAGACATGCCAGCAGCTCAATCAAATACCCTCAACCACTTCGTCAACCGAGATGCTGCGAAAAAGAAAGTTAAATCCAAGCTTTAACTGTATGTATCCTGTCCCTCAGCAGAGACTTGGAAAATTTAAAAAAGAGAGATGTTAGACTCCTCTGGCACTCAGTCACTCTCTCTGAATATTGGAGGAATAAGCGAATCCCTCGCGGGCTTTGCTTGAAGAAAACTCCCTCATTTGGCCTGGATGATATGGAGTTTATGCACAAATGGGAGCAGATATTAAATAAATGTTCTCTCGACAGAAAAGACAGCTGCTCTTATCAACGAGCTGGAATCAAAGATCACAGCACAAGTGGACACAGAAACGTTCAAAACCATCACTGAGAAAATCTCAACCTCCCTCATATCCTTCCAAAAAGATTTACAAAGTTACAAACTGAAGAAATATGAGAGGGACACGAAGGATTATACTGCTGGGAAAGTTTATGAATGGAAAGACGAGAGGAAACACCTTCGAAAACCCCGCCCAGCCCGACATCCACCAACCTAGGCAAGGCTCTTTAATTACAGCCTGTAATAAGAAAAACAAAAAGACAAACTATAAGAAAAATCTATCAGAGGCTGAAATCAAATGTCTCAATGAAATTGAAAAAAGAAATGACATTATCATTCGTTCTGCTGATAAAGGAGGCTCCATCGTAGTCATGAGTCTGGAACAATATGATCAAAGCATTAGATCACAACTCACAGAGGATAAGTGTTATACTTTGCTTGATCGTAATCCAATGAATGAATATAAAGCTGAAATTGATCAGATTCTGCATTCAGGACTTTCCAGAGGCTGGATTACAGAACAAGAAAAATAATTTTTGTCTGTGCAACACCCTATATGCCCAGTCTTTTACGGCCTTCCAAAAATCCACAAAGCATTTAATAATCCGCCTCTCAGACCCATAGTATCCAGCATTGGCTGTCTCACAGAACCTTTATCACAGTATCTGGACTTTTTCCTAAAAAAGATGGTTGTCAAACTCCCCTCCTATCTTGGTGATACGACAGACGTTTTGAACCTTGTCAATGGTTTTGTGACTGAAAAAGACTTTATTTTAGTCACCTGCGACGTCCAAAGCCTCTACACATGCATCCCACATCGCGCAGGTATTGAGGCGTTAAACCACTATCTGAACACACGCCCTCCTGACATGCTTCCACCAAACGTTTTTTTAAAAACCCTTACTGGAATAATCCTGTCAAAAACTATTTCCAATACGCAGGATCTTACTTTCTACAAAAACAAGGGGTGAGCATGGGGAGTTCGTTTGCACCATCATATGCATGTCTCGTTATGGGGTTCTGGGAAGAAAAATTCATTCATAACTCCATGACAAACCCTTTTGTGTCCAAGATCGCATTGTGGAAAAGATACATTGATGATATCTTTTTTATATGGACTGGTACTACTGATGAACTAATTGATTTTGTGTGCTACATTAATTCCACCACACAGTACCTGAGATTCACAGTTGAGCAGTCTAATGAGAGAGTGAACTTTTTGGACCTCACAATCTATAAAAATATGAGAGGGGGTTTGGACAGCACTATTTACCGGAAACCATTAAGCAGGAACACACTTCTCAGAGCCGACAGTCACCATCCAAAACAACTCATCAAAAACATCCCAACAGGACAATTTCTTCGTCTAAAAAGAAAGTGCAGTACAGACGAGGAATTTGAACTGAAAGCAGATGAGATGACTGAGAGCTTCCACAGCAGAGGCTATAAGGAGCACGACATACGGGCAGCGTATCAGCAGGCGAGACGCACGGACAGAGCCCGCCTCCTCCAAAAGACTCAGCGCCCCTCCACAACACCCCGCCTCTATTTCTCCACAGAATTCTCCCCCATCGCAGGGGACATAAAAAACATTATTAAGAAACACTGGCACATTTTACAAAGTGACCCAGCCCTAACACGAATATGTGCTCAACCCCCTCTGATCTCTTTCCATAAAGCCAGATCCCTTAAAGACAGACTGGTACACTCTGCAATGAGCGCACCTCAAAGATCTACCTGGTTGCCTGCTCCACCTACTGGCTTCTACAGGTGTGGCCACTGCTCTCACTGCTCTAACTCATCTGACAGCAAACAATTCTGTCATCCACACTCTGGCAAAAAATACAACATCAATTCATTTATAAACTGTAGTACCACACATGTAATTTACATATTGAAATGTCCATGCGGATTGGTTTATGTTAGTCAGAAAAAAACGCCCCCTCAAAGCTCGTATTGCCGAACATAAAGCTGCCATCCTAAATCAGAATATGGACTATGCCATTGCAAGACACTATGTAAAGGCAAACCATGGTTCTGCGGCAACACTGCCTTTTTTGGGGCATTGAGAAAATCTCCCCATCCCAGAG